AGATATCAGTTCGAACCTCGTATTATAACAGAGTGATAAGTAATATCAATTTTTAAGCAGTTTTGTAGCATTATTTTATTAGTAAGTGTTCTGGAGACATTGTATTATACATTTTATATTATTCCAAGATTAAATTTGATGTGTGCTTATTCGTTCTTTCCTATTAAATTAATAGGGTAACTCCGACAAATACGCCGCGCTGAAATTACACCGCAAAAGTTAGACAAAATAGAAAAAAGAGGTAATTTTTCCGCAACTACTTTGTTACATGCCTTTACGTTATATTAGTATTGAATTATGATTTCAGCTTCTTACTGTTAATATTAATGAAATTATTCTGAGTTGAATCGATTTGTCACTGTAATAAGTAGTGCCACCATAAATTATAATCTACATAAAACGATTACTGTAGGGCGTGTAAAAAACTTAGTGATGCATACATGTAGAGAAATAGTGAAGCATGCTGTATAGTAAAATATAAATGTTTTGCTTCTGTATTCTTTGTTTAGTTTTTTGTCTTGTATATCCCACCTGTTTGGGATATACCGCATTTTTAGCGGGCGGAATTTATGCCCGAAGCATACAAAGTGCGCAGATTGAATTCAGTGCACTAAATGCAATAAACGCATTACATGAAATATATACTTCATATCATAACATTTGTAATATATGTAGGAAGATTGTAATTATTATTTATTACTTCATATACATATTTATCATTCTTATTCCTTAATAAAACCTTATAAATGCATTTTATAAATTATTGTGTCATTAGAATAAAAATGCTCTTATATTTAAAAAAAATTAAACAATGTAGTGGCTTATTTTGAGCTTATAATTAGAATAACTTTGAATTAATATAATTAACACAAGAATATAAATACTAAATAATATTCTAAACAAACGTTTCGGCTTACAAAGTCTTCTTCAGTGTTAACACCTTTGTAAGCCAAAACATTTATTTAGAATATTATTTAGTATTTATATTTTTATGTTAATTAATTTAAAGTTATTCTAATTATAAGTTCGAAATGAGCCACGACATTGTTTAATTTTTTATTGTGTTATTTTATGTCTTATTTATATGCATTATTTGTAAAGTTTTCATGAGCCATATATACCCCCTCCTCCCCCTATAAATAGCCATATATCTCACCCCTATGGGATATACGGCAAAAATGTAAGGGTTTTAAAAAGTTCGTATTTTAATATAAAAAATATGTATTTCGGATTTTTAATATTTTTTCGTAGTAGTAGACAGTACAAAGTTTTTACTGTTATAGTTTGTTTACTTTAAACATAGTAAATAATACTTAATAAATTAAGTTTTTGATAGGTGCGGTGTATATACCAGAGTTACCCTAGTTACGGTTATTTGTGTTTATAAAGGTTTAGATTATAAATATTTTGTCTTTAATGTCTATCTAAGAATTATAAAAGGATGAAGAGCAAATTAGGTCCGGTTTAAAATTAATCTATATTAGTGGAAACTGGCACAAAAATACGAACTGTATGAAAATCTTGTGTTACATTAATTAAAAATGATCTATTTCCTTACAAGTAAAATTTATATATCAATTGTATGATACATAAATATCAATAGCAATACTGTATCACTTAATATCGATAACATTCTAGAATTATTGGTATTCTGACCAATTGGACCTCTAATTTTAATCAGATTGTTGCTCTTATACATAGATCTATATAGATTTAATATTGGCAATACCAGCAACCTTGCCGATCTGCTCATCAAGCTCGGCTATCTGCCGTTTCTCGTTCTCAATCAGCTCAATATACTTGGCACGCTTCGTCAGCAGACACTTCAGCTTCCCGACCATTTCCACATCCTTACGCGTGAATGCCTTCGATCGCGCGGTCTTAATTGCCAGTACGAGTTCGGCTTTCTCGTATTCCAGACGATTGATCGCGTTCTGCTGATTGTGGAGTTGCAATCTCGCATCTTCCGCGCACGTCGCCCGATCGTTCTCCATTATCCTATATTGCCTTTTCAGCCTCGAAAGCTCGGCCTCTGCCATCGTCTCCATCTCCAACTCATCCTGGACCGGTTGCAGTTTATACGCCATTTCGGACTCTCGTTTTTGGCAATCTCTTGACAATTCTAGAGTTTATTGATAATCAACTCTGACAATTCGCAGAAATCATCTTGCATGCGATTGAAAGCAGGTTAATAATAACCCGGAGGTTATTATTTCGCGTACCTACTTTTTTTACAACACGTTCATGGAAGATAGGTAGAAGAAAAAGAGAGAAAGCCGTAAATTTCCCGGAAGACGTCGCATTGATGTCTTCGCGATCGGCAACGTCGGTCACGAAGATCCATGTAGGGGCGGGTCGCACTCCAGTCGTCGATGACGTTTGACGCCGATATTTGAGAGAGACATCTGCCACCCCGAACAGCCGAGGCAGCTTAACAGTTAGCAGCTGTAAAAGACTGTAGGGCGTGCTATAACCGCTTCTGTTGCTACTTCCGGTTGCTAAGCAATGGGCTCAGCGACGTAACGCTCGCTGAATGGGCATGGGCGCAGCGGAAATTAATTTCCTATCTGCAAATATTTTTAACATATTTTCGACTCGCACCATGTCGCAAGTTACGAAGTAACTCCAAAGCATCAGACATTGATCTAAATTATAAACTTCTTGATAAATTCGGAACAAGGATAGGGAAGTTATAAATTAAGCTGTTTAAGCTGTCAAAACTAAAATTAAACCAAGTTGATTGATTTATATATATATATATATATATATATATATTATATAATATATATTATGAAATTACGACGTGCTTTTTATAGTATTCTTAAGTTGTTAATTATTAAGCGTGTTATATTTCGTCTCTACATATATAATTTATTACATAATATGAATTAATGTAAAATCTCACGCAACGAAGATTTTATGATCGAGTTTGACCTCATTTCGCGATATTCAAGCAAAAATCTATCGCAATGCGATAATCGGAAATGTATCTAATATAAATTGCTTCACTTAATATGTTTATTGATCGTTAAGGTAATCCACGTTATACGTTTGCGTTTGTAAATAAGATCAAAGAATAAGTATAACTAAATAAAAGAGGTTTCTTCGTGGAGTATTGTGTGCACTCAATTTTCCTTTCTCATTAGTGTTAATCGTTTCCTACAAATAGCCACACAAAAAATTCAGACTGTTAGTACAGATAATACTTTTATATTCTCGTAATTAGGAAATGTTGGACATTTTATTCAATATTGAGCGAGAGACGACGTATAATCTACAAAATTGCCTCAGGGTAGCAATCATATAACTTTTTCTCTATATACGGCGGAAACGTATAAAGTGAAAAACTTTTCAATCACCTTTATAATAAAAATTTTCATTTTTCACGTTTCCGTCTTAAAAAAAAGCTACTTGATCATTATTGATAAGTGCACAGTTTATTGATATAATATTGGTTCAATGTGTCTCAATGTTTAATTAATGTATCGTCAATAAATTGCTATTATAGGGCCAGAGGGCCATCATGTAACTTTTTCCTTAGAATGAAAATGTGAACATTTTTTTATATGTATGTGTGTAATGTATTTTCTGCATTATATATATATAATATATATATATATATAGAGAGAGAGAGAGAGAGAGAGAGAGAGAGAGAGAGAAATTTACATAGTTGAGTTTCTGGTCTCAAACATTTTCCTTTTTGAATTTTGACATCTCCTATCGCTTATCAGGGTTGTATTTCAAAACTCGACTCTGTCAACCCGAGTATTATTTTATCTTTGTTGTTCACCGAATGTTGAACAAGGATAAAAGATATTCGGAATTGACAGAGTCAAGTTTTGGAACGCACCCCAGGAAGCCGACGTTCTCCACGTGTTTCCACATAATCGATGAGAGGCGGAAAAATAATTAACCCGTTGATCGACGACTCGTGGATTCGCTCTTCCCGTCGTTGCATGAGAACCTCATGGGCGCTGGGTGCTACTCGTGGATATTCGGTGGGATTCAGTCAGGTGGTGGTTTGACCAGGTGGGTCAAGTGGTGGGGGTACACGCTCGAGGATGCAGACGGGGGAGACGTTAGTTCACCTCCGGAGGGGAAGGTCGCCAGGTCGATCGGTTCTACCCGCCGCGCGCGGGTAACGAACGCGAGGGACCTCTCAGGTTCCGACCGACCATCGTGCGGCACACCTCTCTTGGATATTTCCATTTGCCTTTCCGGTCCTAATACACAAAGGATTTGTCGCAAAATTCCAGCGCTCGCACATCGGTACCTGCCTCGCCATTTCTCGGGCTCGACGCGGAGCGATTTTGGCGGTCGCTCGGATACGCTTCGATCGATACCGAAGCGGCGATTGTTGAAGAGTGTGCAGCGCGGACATATCCGTGGAAGATTATTGTGAAATGCGATAAGATCTCGATGACATCGCGATCGGTTGTGTGCTGCAACTCTTATCCAATTGGAATTGCATTAAGAGGTTGGATCATTTGACTTCGCTAGAATAGTAATAATTTTTGTGTCTACATAAAAAGATGTATTAATTTTGTTCTATTCAATCTAATCCTAATTTTGTTTTATTCATTTATCAGATTATTCGCGAAAATATTTAAAACTATCAAATGATTTATAGATATCTGTAGTTTTTTTTTAATTCGACGAGGTGTTCGATATGTAAGTGGATGTTTATGGCTGATCCATTTTTTCTACGACTTTGCGTTTTTGGTTAATCGCAGAATTTTCAGATCTGATTCCATCTTTCGGTAATGAAAATGTAAACAAAATGCAAATTGTGTCGCGAATTTATCCGTATTTACGCGAGCCGACACAAAGAGGCGGCCAAGCCGCGAGCGGGTGCGCCGCGCCGAGCCGAACGAATTACTTTCAACCGCGCTGCAATATGGTGGGAGAGCCGTGCTGGTCGCTCTCGTGGAGCACGCTGCACGATTCCGTAATATTTATTTTCCACTCACGGCTAGTGACTCACTACCTGGCCGACCGCGCCACAGCGAGCAGGTAGACCTCGCGTTCGTGATCCGTGTTCGTGAGCGAGATTCGTGACCGCTCTCCCACATCCTCAGCGCGCGTGTTTCGCAGTGAGTTCGCGAGAAGTGGAGATGCGTGTGTGTGTGTAGGTGTGTGTATATTGTCATGTACCAGTGCACATTTTTTCAAATTTTTAAAAAAGAAATTTTAACCATTTATCGTGCCATAAATACTTATCGAGGGTTTACAAGACGCCGTAAAATATTTATCGAAAGCGACGAATAGATAGTGTCTCAAGGAATTTGTATCCTCCGTTTAAAGAAAAAAATTAGAAATACTACACTGTTAGATATCAAAGGAACGATGGTAATCCAATCTCTTGAGCTAAATAACATTTCGTTATTTTTAACTTTCTGTGTCAAAACGTAAAGCAATCCATTTCAGTGATTATTTTTAAAATAAACGTCATATTAACGTACATACTTAGTAAATAATAAATTAAATTTGAGTCAAATTTAATACATTCTTTTCAGTTAAATTCATTCAACTGTTTTAGTCAAATGAACGACATATTGAGAGCAGTGGCGATCTATAGAAATTATTAAAAATGACTCAAATAGGTATAATTTAGACATTATGAATTTAACAGTGTAGATGGTCATTAGTAAATTGACGAAAGACAAACAAAGTCGCGTTCGATCAGTGGGAAAGCTACGGAGGGTTGATCGCGAGGGGAACGTGATCGCAGTAATCGATCAAATTAACGTCGATTAGTTGTCGGGGTGGGTCGATTTAGATCCACATCCCCTTTATTGGATTTATCGGCAAGGGTTGATGGTGCCGCTAAACCGACGCGACGTACCAATCGATAAACGTGAACTGTCGCACGTGCCGTCCGTGACCGTCGATTGCCGTCACATTTTTATCGCCGCTCAAGGATAATGCGACGCAATTGCGACTGTATCGCCCTATCGCTCGTGGTAGAGACGCTAGGCGTTCTCCACCCACGCTCACGAGTCGATTCGCGCGGAACCGATTTTCGAGCGTCCGCGTGCCGAACACGCGAAATCAGCGCGATTAAATCCGCCCACGCGCGGCTCGATACCACTTTTCCTTCGCGACTCGAAACTCGCGCCGAGCGACGCGAGAATCGAGTATATAGACCTCGCATAGCTTCTCAAGAAGAACAATTCACAATAATGTTAGAATACTATATAAATCATGGCTGTTTTGTTCCATTACCAAAAGATGGAATCAAATCGAATGTACACTGAGAAAAAAAAGTTGCTGTTTCAAAAAAATATTAGTTGATTCAACTAAATGTAGCGGTCACGGACTGTCGAGCAAATATTTGTTAACTCAATTAAATATTTGTTAATTCAAACAAATAACATATTTTAAATTACAAGATTTTGTTAATCTAAATATATAAATATTCGAACTAAATAATCATCACGAACTAAACGCATTTAGTCAAGTTAACAACTTTTTTTTCTCAGTGTAAGATTAATCGAAAACTCAAAGTCGCGCAGAAAAAATTAATTATAAAATAAAAACCCATTTATATATCGAACGTTTCATCGAATTAAAATACAAAAAAGATTTTTAATAATCATTTTGGAGCTATTTTCACGCTATTTTGATATTATTTTTGTTCAGCTTGGGTTACACTATTTGGAAACTTGGTATTCCCAGTCGCAACATCGAGTAGGTGATTGCTGTTTACGCGAAATGAATAATTCCTGATTGCTTGCAAAATAAACGCGCGAGTGCTTTTGTTATATAGTGACTTTTATTAATCATACACGCAATTCGAAAATAACTCGTTACATCACAAATGTTTAGTCATTCGTAGGAAATGTCAGGATACCGCTCTTTCAAAAACGCTAACGTTTGAAACATATGACGTGATCGGAAATTGAGATAATGTATCAAGCAGAACAACAAGTCAAGATAACGTTATAATCGAAGAGAGATTTTTAATAATTATTTTGGAGATGTATATATATATATATATTTTGATGCCATAATGTTTTCGAAGTCATGATGACTTTTTGTTCTGGTTAGAATATGTTATAGACATTTGTGCTTTGTTAGACGGAATTAAGTATATCAGCATCCCTTTCCTCGAACTTTAAACTTCAAAAAAAGAGCAATATGATACCTTTTTCTAAGTCGAGAATGACAACTTCATAGGAATGCACAAGTCTGTTTTTGTTACGTTTATGTTATTATCGGTTTAGAAAGAGTGAACTTGAGTCATATCACTCACTCTCTCTCTCTTTCTCTCTCTCTTTCTAGAGTATCGAACTGAAAAGAGATGTTGATAGGATTGAATAAATATTCTATAACACATAGTCTGACTCTCGGTCTGACTAGCGATTTTGTCAAAATCCTACCAGAGAGAAATATTTTCTCTGTATATACTATCTATATACTGTATATTTTTCTGTATATACTATCACACTCTAATTTATAACGTTTCATTCTATAATCTTCATAAAATATAGAATGAGACAGTATATATATATAAGCTAATATGAGATAGTATATCTACTTTTCTCTCTCGCAGAATTGTTACAAAATTCCTCTAAAGTTGAAGAAAAATGCTGATATGATTAAATTCTTTTTAATGGAGTATAGATGATAAGATCAAGAAATACGCAACATAATGCCTATTACATATACTTATAGGATGTGTCATCTAGATAAATGCGTGGAAACAATTTACAGGGATAACAAAGGCGAGAGATTAAAACTGAGTTTCTTGATCTTTCTTGCAGAAGCGGCTGGATACTCATTGCGAGATGGTTCTATCGCAAATCAGACGTACGCCGAGAGACTCTCGTAATTTGCTCCAACATAGAAGATTTCTGTTTCGTTGCTCTGAAGTAAACAGTGTGGTTATCTGAGAATCGATCTTTCTTATGATCTTTCTACAAAGCTAAAACGAACGTTATTCATTACGGATAAATGGAGAATCGCGGAGTATCGTTGCGTCGTAATTCACGCGAGTCATTCCCGATCTGATGGTGCAGTGCTCGCTGGGAATCGTCGATCATTCTTGCGATTATACCCGCGAAGTGAATTCGTAACCGGATATGCTCGAGCGAGTTGTGAACGAATGAACGGAGTAGTGTGTGTCGCAATTCGACGGACTTTCCATTCGCGTAGCCTTGCTCCGAACAAGATCGAGAAATCGCGGGACGATTCGCGACGAGTCTCGAGCTGAATAAACGTCTCCTTCTGGGGCAGTGTACGACATCGAGCTGCGGAGTGCGCGAGGCAGCGGTGGAGACGTAAGAAACTGTCCAGGTTGATAGCCGGTCGATCGATAGCGCGGCGAACTTCCGCGATCGATATCCCCGGGGAGAAGAATAGCGGTACGTTGCACTCGCGCAATGAGAACATCGCCGTCGTTGTCTTATACAATAAGGATGCTGTTAATTGCAATAGTGGAGGACTCAGCCCGTCTATATTTGTGCGATTACGAGTGCACCGAGCGCAATGTCAGGGCGACCGATCGCTTCCGGTAGCCGAGCGCTGACACGATTCTCTGCGACGAGGAAGGGAACTCGCGGGACAGACCGACGACGATTGCGATTACGCAGAGAGAGGTAAGTGAGTTATGCGTCATCCAGGTGATTCTTGCGATCGCGTGCTCCTCGCATGTTGGTATGCTGCGAGACTTCAAGGCCCGACTGCTTTTGGGTCGCACGCGGTCCTCGAGCGAAACGGGTTGTAAATCTCCCGAGACGATGCTCTTCAAGGTCTTTTCCTACAACGCAGAATCTTGAAAGAAAACAATTATTAATATATAATTAATATTTCTTTTGTTGTCATTATTAACTTAATAATAAGAATTAATTAATTATTATTAAACACGTATAAATTCATCTTAATAATCAAAATATAGATTAAGTCTAAGTAAATAGGTTTGTTTTAAAATTTCATGAACATGTTTCTGAATAAGAACGACGAAAAGTATGTTTATAAACTAAGAGAAAAATTTTTAGTATTTGTAACTATAAGTACATGTTATCATAATTATGATTATTGTTGCCTTAATGTTAATAATAATAATTACATATATGTACAGTTCTAGCTATCAACAAATGTATATATGTAGGGTAACTGTCCCTATTAATGTGCCTTTTAGCCAATTTGCTTATTATTAAATTAATTATTAAATATTGTAGCTTTAATTTTATCTGCTTGCAATCAATATTGGTTTTTCAATTACTTTTTTTTCTTATAATATTTCTTTAATCTAAAAAATGTTAATACTTTATAATGTTTTTGATAAAAATAAAAAACATATTTTTGTCTCTATTAGTGAGTCTTCCAAGTGGCGATGGCCCTATTAATGTGTCCTCAATTTATGTGCCTATCCACATTTGATTCATTTTAACATATAGTTACTAAAACAGGTAATAAATTTAAGCTAATTGTTTATGTTAATATTACATAAATCATTATTCCATTTATATTTCAAAGTACATTCATAACACAACGTTCTCAGCTCCAATACAGAACACATTAATAGGAACAAGCTTAAAATCTTGCCGTACGTATTATTGGATTCACATAAATTTCTCATATATATATCTTTCGAAAAATATTTAAAATACTTTAATACTTAAAAAATAAAATATTATCGTATGCATTAATAATTTAATTTAACAAAAAAAATATTTTTTCTTATTTATTTGTGCTAGTTTTCTTTATGACTTATCGAAATACAAAAGGGACAGTCATAGTAATTGGAATAGTTACCCTAGTTGACGATCGAAAATAATTTTATATTCATTATAATAATTTCGCATATTATTTTCATTATAATGATAATTATTATTACAATGAAAATAGTTTACTATAATTTAATTATAATTTACAGTCATTTTTTAGGATAGCCATATAACGTTATATAACAATAATAATCATAATTGTGGTTATAAATATAAAAAATTTTTCTCTCACTCTCTCTATACGAACACTAGATCGCAAATGCTTCATCGTCGAAATAATTGACACAAATATAGATTTGAAATGACTGAGTATCAAATCGTACTCAGCCATGTATGATGGACAAAACTTTGAGCGTCGTAAACAAAATGATACCCACCCGAAACTTTTAAGTAAAGTTATTATTTGATACTATTATATGTATCTATTATTTTGACAATAAAGTGTTTGTTATTTAATATTTATAAGAACATTTGTTTTTTTTTCTTTTTATCTGGGAACACGCTCATAAAATTTCAAAAGTGTTAGAAAATAAAGAAAGTATATAAATCACACAGTATTTGCTTACGCATATTTTTCAATGAAAAGCTTATTAAGGAAAGATTGTTTTATCTGAAATCAAAAGCTAGCAAATAAATATAGTTGATGATTTATTACAGAATTCTAGGATTTAAAATATAATTACATGAAAAGGAAGGATGCCATAAATCTTTATAGATGAAGAAATATTTGTAAACGATGTGAATGGATAAGATTCATTTATGGTTGGATAGCTTTTTATAGAGATGTATATGGACACTTCAGCGCAGACAAGATATTCTATTTTTTCAAATTGGTGATAGATATATGTATTATATTTCTGTGTTTTTTTTATCATTAACATGATAACGTGTCCAGCCTGATTGTTTCCTCATCGTACGATACTTCAATTAAATCTATATCTAATAAAAAGTAAGAAATAATAAATTCGCAACAATATATAATAATAAATTGAGAACAGAAAATTACATTAAGAGAAAATGATGATTTTAATTACCATAATTTAAGTATAATCGATGTCAATCAAAATGAATTTATTTCAATGTCAATTATATATTTTTTAGAATTATATAATTGTTTATAGTTATATATATTACTATAACATTATAGAAATAATAACTATAAAAATGGAGTTTCTAATTACAATTTTTATCATACAATTATAATATAATAACATAAGTATCAAAGATTTCTCTCACAGCGTATATATAAGTAATAAATTTATAAAAATATATATATATATAAACAACTTTAAAAAATATACATTATAATTATATGTTGTAAAAATACATTTAGCTCCATTAATAATTCATTTATAATTATTATAATTTTATCTTAGCAGCTCGAATAGCCTTCAATCTTTTTTGCTAAATACTATATTAATATAAAAACATTAAAAACATGTTCTACACAAAGTTGAACTCAACTCCTCGACTTGGTCAAACTTGTTTGTCGAGTTTAGCTCATTTAATTTTTAAACGCCACGTATCCGAACGGCTATGTAATATCATACCGTCTGCTTGGCGCTTTGAGTGTCAAACGTAATAAGAGTAAAAATCCGGAATTAATTGATTTCAGCTAATCAATGGCGTTCGATAATTTGACGCTACCCACGCACAACTATGCGGTGTCCACGAGGGAAAGTCGATCGTGACGTCACTAACATTATTACCGTGTCCGAATACGTTTGACGTGTTGTTGCCGAAGTGTACACCTGACGCGGTTTTCTCCTCCTTCGTATATCGATCGAGAACCGCGAGTTCGTGACGGAAACAGAAGTGACGTTACGTCGTGCTGTGTCGTGGAAGGTACACCGATAACTCGCGATGCTACCGAAGAAAGACAGTCAGACGGAGCCGTACGCTCTCGAAGATATGATATCGGATCTTCAGGCGAGAAGGCACTCGTTGGATCACGAGGACGTCGTGCAGGATCCAGCCGAGTTACTGAAGCAACGCGAGAGAGATCTCGTCCTGGCCGCTGAACTCGGCAAGGCTCTACTCGAAAGGAATCAGGAGTTAACGAAGCAGGCTGAAACCTTAGCTGAGGAATACTCCGCCAAATTAGAAGTGAGTACATATTGTTAAAAAAAAATTCATTGAGGATGGCTTGAGCCGAAACTTCCAATCGTCTTGTAATTGATGTAAGGAGAAATTGAACACACAGTATATATGTTTAAATTTTAGTGCACGAAGTAACGCGAAGTTCTTTTACTTATACTTACTGTGATGAATTTTATGTTTTGTTTAAATCTCGAGAGTTCAATTAAGTTTTTTTTATTAAAAAAAAACCATTTGTCTGGCATGTTCGTTTCATAATTGCAGGTTTCGGAAGAATAATTCACCTTAGAACTGATTGCAGACTTAGAAAATGCTCATTATTCCTTTAATTCAATACAAACAGACACAAATGATGAAAATATTATTAAAATATTAATAAAAATACTGAGGTGAAAGTTGCTTATTTGTACAAGATGCACAAGTTGCTCGGCAAAGAGAGATTTATGAAAATATAATTCGAGCGTTTTCTCTCTTAAGCGCGAAATACATAACTATACGAGAATAATTTATCGTCCACGCCAGCAGTTAAGAGATAACGCTTATGTAATTTTTTGCTCGGCGTTTATTAGATAAAAATTAATTAAAAGCAGAGTGCACCAAGTTTCCGATTTAATGAGGTGAATTTTACTTTCGACACGCCTGCGAGATTACACTTCGTACGAGGAAGACACGGG